AATTATTATGCGCACCCTGTTAATCAAGGTACTTAATAAGATCAAGCTCTACAAGGTGACCCTTCAAAGCTACTCTGCAACTTCTTGGGGGCTTTTCAGCAGCGGGCAGGCAGTGCAAATGTCGCCAGCTCATCTGTGCCAGGCACAGGGATCTGGGATATTTATGGGATGAGGCAGGAAAACCTACCCGGTCGGAATCAGAAGCGATTTGGGGAGGGCCGTATCATTCCAGGTTTGATCCATCTCGAAATTCGTCCATGTCCCATAGGGATTTCAGTTGTTTCTGCCCTGCCCTAAACAACTGTTCAATTCCGGTTGTGGTCGGTAGTACTCTTGTACAGTTCTACGAGCCTGAATGGAGGGAAAATGGTCATGTTCCTCGCACCCTTGTACAGTTCACCATCCTTCCATGCCCGAAGGGGCTGGCTACAGTAGTGAAACTGGGACCGACGCCTTCCTCCCGACCAGTCACATGCCCTGGGTCCCACGACTCACAAGTCACGGCATGGCTCACAAAGCGAAGGTCGGTCTACACTAAATGACCAATAGTATTGAGTCTTGGAAAAGTTGATTACGAAATCGAGACTTCCTTGCAACACAGCATTTGTAATTGAACTTAGCGTTTAGTCATGTGGTAGTTGAAATTTACTAGATGCGATGCGACTGCTGAACGAGAGATATCGGCCATGCACTCGTCAAATTTACCACCTGTAACTGGTCCAAACATTTTCTCGTGTTAGAGCACGTGTGCTGAATCACTTCGTTCTCTTGACAAGATAACGTTAGGAAAATGAGAATCAGCTGTTCAAGAAGTCGTGCGTCGCACCCGTGTACAGTCGTGACGATTCTGCAGAACGTGGACTGTTTGCAGCTGGATGAGAATTTACCCAAAAACGAAGAGCACTAAAAAATGGATAGGCATTTTCACGGTGTGGGGCATCACCGTGCCGCACGGATCATCAGTGCGGCAAATTTCAAAGCATGAGCTGACAAATCCCACACCTGGAGGCCAATGTTTGAGTTTGTTCGGCACTTACTGTCAACTTCATTGCTCGTCGCAATCCGGACTTCCTGACCCACTTATGGACTTTCATCCTTTTCCCCCATATACGAACCCGGACACGGGTCTGCCAGCTTCATGTATTGCACCACCTGTACGGGAGAGGGACACGTGAATGTATGGACAATCGGGAATGTTGGTGGGAACATTTGCCCAAACCCTCCCTCAACCGCCATTTTGGCTGGTGTAGTTTGTTGCCCTTGTTGGAGGCAAGTGCACCGCCGTTGCAACTGGTTGGTCAGATCCCACCGCCCACGGCATTCCCAGCAGAATACACATGATGCTCAACCACTGGATGGAAACTTTGCATCCTTATTTTTTTTCCTCTGCCAGTTGCACGCACGTTACAAGCACGTAGCGCAAGCTGCAGTGGTTCTGAACCAATAGTAACGAACAGACCGAAGTCATATTGAAGAGACTGAAGTCAAAATGTCAACGGGTAAGTTAAAATTATTTTATAAGCACCTGACGGATCCTTTTTTGCTAACTGCGAATTGACGAAACTTATGCGAAATACAATAACAGTTTAATCGCCCCCTTCACAAGGCAACCGGGAGCGGCTCAACCCTGGCATCATGTGTATAGTGATATTTATGCATGGAAATCGTAGCCTATCTTTCGTATCCATGTTGCCAAATGCCTTCTCTTCTGTATACATGATATCCAACCACTGCGCACGAATTTGCCTTGCCCGCTTGAGAAACTCTGCACCCGTGTTTTTGTTCCGATTCAGTTGCACCCAGGTTATAGGCACGCGGATCAACTTGCATTTGGGCGAGAAAACGCCAAAGTATGAATCTTAGGCGCAAAACAAGACATGCTGACTCGGTTTGTTCTTGTTTCTTGGCCAGAAACAAGCATAAACCCAAAACCATGAACTAACAACACAGGCCCACCAGAAATGTTTTGGAAAAAACAAACGATTTACAACCTGTGTTTTTTTGAAGCACCTCAACACCCTGGCGAAATGGAACGAACTGGGCAAAATGCCTAAAGCGTTTATAAGCCCAGAGCACAACCCAAGTAGGGGAGAGTCAAACAAGCATCAGGTGCAGGTCTTCCACCTGCCTCTTGTGTCTCTTTCAACAACAGTGTAAGCTCAGTTCTATCGTTACGCGTGATTCGAACTGTGTTGTTGTAGGGTTAGTAATAGGGCTGCCCTTGCGTACGAATAGACGATTTTCCGTAAACGTTCCAAGCGTTTTTTTTTGCGTCTTCAGAACACCCTACTTTTCAATCAGACTAATCTTCACGGAGATATTATGTCTGCTCCCGAAGGTTGCCACATTTAACGATGTACACCGAAACGATGCGTTTGAAAAAATTCCTTGGGCTGCAGCATTTGAAGATTATGGGGCAGAACCTTGTCATGCGGCACATTAGTCGCTGGAACAGTCTGGCAGCAATGGCCTCCTCGGAATCCACCTTCACATTTCATCGTCCGAGAGATCGCGTTGAGTTTGCTTTCTGCAGAGTTTGCATTTCTCTCGCCTAGTCCTCTATAATCGCCACAAAACAAAGTAGTCGTCATGCCTTTGCAGGGTTTGCACTTCCCTCTCAACACTGAGTGTTGTGCTTAGTAAACCTTGGCCACTCGAGGCGGGCTTTTCTCCAAACTCCTCCAGTGGACTGTGCTGTGGCGGCACGCCAAATCCAGCTCGCTAGAGTCGTCCCTGGTGGTAGTAGTACTGGCGGTGGAAAGAACGCGCATGGTCGCCATGATGGCGACGCGGGGACGGCATGTGCGCCTCGTCGCGGTGGTCGTGCTCGCAGTACTGTCCAGCCACCTCCACGGCGTCGCTAGTAGTGTCGTCATGCTGACCGATCAAGGTGGAAGCCATCCACTGATGCGTTCGTGTCCTCACCATAGTATAGTCATGACATCCACGTGATAGAGCCGTCAAGTGTTATCACATCACCAAAATGTTGCTGACCCAAACGTGGCCCAAAGCTAACCTTATAGTAACCCCAAAGTAACTTTGGGGTCAGAAGTTAGTTACGGGACATTTTGAGGCTCGTAAGTAATCCAACCCAAAGTGTCTTAGACCCAAAACTGTCCCGAATCTGACTGCGCTTGTGTGGAGACTTGGGGATGCAGGTTCGACACCTGTTGCTGGCAGTTCTCGTTAAAAAGAAAAAGAAAAAAAGACCTCTGAATCTGACTTTCACCAGAGGTCGGCGGATCGTAGCTCGCTGGGTGCATTATAACGAGCACAATGAAGACAGGAAAGTAACAACAGGAAATAAGACTGCCTTGAAGTTAGCAAGTGATCTGGCGAGAGTCGAGCCCGTTATCTCTGGCTCCGTAGACGAGTTTGTGGGCTTTGGGGTTGTGTTCGGAAGTCAACCCACCAATTGTCAATAACCTTTCGAGAGAACTTTATTGCCCAGTCTATGGATACGGAACGCACCCCTTACTCTGGAAATCCCCGTTGCTATTCCACTTCCTTCCAACGTTCACCTACGCTCCTCCGCGGCTGTAAACGCTCCAAGCTGCAGGCCTACTGTTCTTGCAAGCAAGCCCGATATGCTCCACATCCTTCCCTTTGCCTTCCTACCCTACCCTCCGCTTACGTCGCCCTCATTCTTCCTCTCCCCTCCCTCCCACCTATCAGCGACGGCCCTGCTGAACATCAAGGCGGCCATGGGGCTGACCTACACCACATGGACCACCACCAACCAGTGCACTCTTAATGGCGCCGCTGCAGTCGCTGGCGATTGGGACCGCGTGAGCTGCACCTCTGATGGCAAAATCGCCGCGGTGTGAGTGCACGCGGCAAGGCACGGTGTGAGCGCTGGCGGGGCAGGGTTGTGAGTGCTGGCGGTAAGGCAGGGGTGTGAGTGCAGGCGGTAAGGCAGGGGTGTGAGTGCAGGCGGCGAGGCAGGGGTGTGAGTGCTGGCGGCAAGGCACGGTGTGAGTGCAGGTGGCAAAAGGCAGGGTGTGAATGCTGAAGGCAGGGGTGTGAGTGCTGGCGGCAAAGGCTAGGGTGTGAGTGCTGGCGGTAAGGCAGGGTGTGAATGCTAAAGGCAGGGGTGTGAGTGCTGGTGGCTAAGGCAGGGGTGTGAGTGCAGGCAGCGAGGCAGGGGTGTGAGTGCTGGCGACAAGGCAGGGTGTGAGTGCAGGTGGCAAAGGCAGGGGTGTGAGTGCTGGCGGTAAGGCAGGGTGTTAGCACAGGCGGAAAGGCAGGATTTAAGTGCAGGCGGCAAGGCAGCGTGTGAAAGGCGGCAAGGCAGCATGTGAGAGGCGGCAAGGCAGCGTGCGAGAGGCGGCAAGACAGCGTGTGAGAAGCGGCAGTGCAGCGTGTGAGGCAGCAAGGCAGCGTGTGAGAGGCGGCAAGGCAGCGTGCGATAGGCGGCAAGGCAGGTGTTGCAACAGTCCATCTAAGCTCCTTCTCATGCTCTGCATACCATTTACTTGCCCAGATAGTGATTACACATTGCTGGTGGTTCATGCATGTGTAGCTGGCATGTGGGTGAGGATGAGCAGCAACGGCATGCGAGGCAGCTTGTCCACACAGCGTGCTTCCTCTGACCCCTGTGACGCCGCTTCCATAATCTCCTGGCCATACGTGCATACCATATTCAACTGCTCACCCTCCCTTGTATGTCTCCAACACTCTGACACTGTTGTGTACCTCAGGACCCTGGATAACTTAAAACTGAAAGCCTCACTTCCTTCTGACGTCTCCACGCTCACAGCTCTCACCTACATGTAAGTTGCGTCTGCCTTGCTCCGGCTATTCTAATCCACTTTGTAATGAGAATGTTCTCTGCTGTCATATCAGCTCCTTTATGTTCCCTCTTTTGCTATGATACAATGGATGCCCAGAGCTCCATAGAGTTGCCTAATCGAGCCATGCTGCATCTAGTCAAGAGAGAAGCGCAATTACTGCCCCCTGCACCTTGTGGCCCTGCTCGCCCCTTCCCAACCCACAGCAACATGCAGAACAATCTCCTCAGCTACCGCGTCGACTCCTTCACCACTCACTTCAAATCCATAACAGTGCTGGCCGACATGTGAGTGCCAGATTGCAACCGGCAAGGGAGGAAGGGTGAGAGTAGGCGAATGGTTGTGGTGCCCTGTCTTGCCTCAGTTTTTCACCCACTCCCATTTCACTCTCAATTCTTCCGCCCTCCATTGTACACGCTGCCACTCAATTCATCCCTGCCCCTCATCTCATCGCCGCCCTCATCATCTCTGCTCCGCCCGCAGCCGCCTGCACTACAACTACTTATGGGGAGAAATCCCCTCGTTTCTTGTGGGCCTTCCAAAACTCACTAATCTGTAAGTCCTATGGGAAGGCACGTACCAGATGACTGCATCATGCTGTTTTGAAGGTGCATGCTACCTCTCCTTGCCTTCCGGCCTTGTCTACCCACTCCTTCACTATTACGGCCCTTGATGTATCTGCCCCATTGCTGCCCTCCCCCCTGCGCCAGCGTGGCCTACTACAATTATTTCATCGGCACCGTGCCTGCGCTCGGCCCGTTGCTGCTCTCTCTGGACGTGCGAGGAAACTTCCTCACAGACTTGCCCACAGCGAGCTACACGTGGTGTGGCTGTGCCGGGAACTGCATGGCGGCCGCGACAGCGGCCGCAAAGTGCATCAGCGGCGGCTCGGGTCAGCGGCCTGCAGCCGACTGTGCCCCCTGTGGCACTACGAACGCTGTGGGGCCTTTCTGCACGTCAGGCGGAGTGTGCACGGTGGACGCGAGTGCACGCATCACTGCCGGCACTCTGAACCTGCCGGCGCAGCCCGCGCTGCCCATGACATGCTCGCTCCTCATGGATCCAGTGGATTGTGCGTCCTCCTCACCCCGTGCTCCTCACCCCGTGCTCCTCACCCTGTGCTCCTCACCCCGTGCTCCTCACCCCGTGCTCCTCACCCCATGCTCCTCACCCCGTGCTCCTCACCCCGTGCTCCTCACCCCGTGCTCCTCACCCCGTGCTCCTCACCCCGTGCTCCTCACCCCGTGCTCCTCACCCCGTGCTCCTCACCCCGTGCTCCTCACCCCGTGCTCCTCACCCCGTGCTCCTCACCCCGTGCTCCTCACCCCGTGCTCCTCACCCCGTGCTCCTCATCCCATGCTCCTCACCCCGTGCTCCTCACCCCGTGCTCCTCACCCCGTGCTCCTCACCCCGTGCTCCTCACCCCGTGCTCCTCACCCCGTGCTCCTCACCCTGTGCTCCTCACCCCGTGCTCCTCACCCCGTGCTCCTCACCCCGTGCTCCTCACCCCGTGCTCCTCACCCCGTGCTCCTCACCCCGTGCTCCTCACCCCGTGCTCCTCACCCCGTGCTCCTCACCTCGTGCTCCTCACCCCGTGCTCCTCACCCCGTGCTCCTCACCCCATGCTCCTCACCCCGTGCTCCTCACCCCATGCTCCTCACCCCGTGCTCCTCACCCCATGCTCCTCACCCCGTGCTCCTCACCCCGTGCTCATCCACTTCATCCCTCCACTGTCCCCAGCACCACACTGTGTGCATTCCCACTTCCCACCTCTACTCTCTCCTCCTCGCATAATTTTCCTTTTGCCCACACCATGCTGTTGTGCACCCCCATCTACCACTCCCTGCAGTCGCCGCCATGATGAACATAAAGAGCGCGCTGGGTGTGACATACACCACATGGACTGCCACCAACCCATGCCGCTATGCTCGATCCGCGGTGGCCGTTGCAGGCGAGTGGAACGGCGTCACCTGCGTGAACGGCAAGGTGTCCGACATGTGATTGCGCAGCGCCGCCCCACCCACACTACCGCTCTAACCACACCTCTGCATCACCCACACCTCTGCATCGCCCACACCTCTGCATCACCCACACCTCTGCATCACCCACACCTCTGCATCACCCACACCTCTGCATCACCTACACCTCTGCATCACCCACACCTCTGCATCACCCACACCTCTGCATCACCCACACCTCTGCATCACCCACACCTCTGCCTCACCCACACCTCTGCCTCACCCACACTTCCGTCTCACCACCCGCCTCGCCCACACCACCACCCCACCCATACCACGGTGCCCTCAATCATCCTCCTGCTTCAACCGTGTGCGTCCATCCTCTGACCGCTCTTGTTGCTTCGCCCTCCCCACACTTTGCCACCAACTGCTGCGTGCACCAGGGGACTGAACAGCCTCGGCCTCAAGGGCTCACTGCATGCTGACTTCTCCAAGCTCACATCTCTCAGCTACTTGTGAGCTCCTTCTGCTCCCTTCTCATGCTGCTTCAATCTCCGCGTGCCAATGCTGATTTTTGAGGCGCCTCAAAAAGCACCCTCTTGCTGCATTGGCTGCTGTGCCAAAGGCAATGGGCGGCCCAACCTGTGTCGAGTTGCCCAGTCAAGCCGTGATGCATCCACTCAAGGTTCAAGCGCTATTATCGTGCTTCCTGCACCCTCCTCTCGCCATCCCCCCACAGAAACCTGCCGGGAAATCTCTTCAACTACCGCCTCGACTCCTTCACCACCAACCTCCGATCCTTGCCAGAGCTGGCTCTCCTGTGAGTGCCTGCTAGGGCGTGGCCGGCACGGGAGGAGGGGTGAGAGCAGGCGAATGATGATGGTCTTGTCTCGCCCCAGATTTTTCACCCACTCCCATATCTGTCAGTCATTCAACCTCTGTTTCACATGCTGCCACTCATCTCATCGCCACCTTCACCATCTCTGCTCCTCTCGCAGTGCCCTGCACGACAACTACTTGTACGGAGAAGTCCCCTCGTTCCTCGTGGGCCGTCCGAAACTCACTGCGTTGTAAGTTGGATATAAGGGAAGGCCCGTACCGGGTGGGTAGCTGTGTGCCACGGCGTGAGTCTGTTAATAGGAAGGTGCATGGCAATTCTCCCCTGCGCGATTCGGTGCTCTCTGCCCACTCCTGATGAAGCCCTTTATGCACCTGCCCCCTCACTGCCCTCCCCCCTCGCCAGCGGTGCTAGATTCAACTACTTGATCGGCACTGTGCCCGCGCTCGGCCCTTTGCTGGTCCTGCTGGACATTCAGGGCAACTTCATAACGGACGTGCCGGCAGCCACCTACACGTACTGCGGGGGCTACTTCAACTGCCTGCCCACGCCCTCCAAGTGCCCCAGCGGTGGCACCACTCAGCGATCTGCCGCAGCTTGTAGCGTCTGCGGCACCACCAACGGCGTTGGCCCCTTCTGCGCGTCGACGGGAGGGGTGTGCTCAGTGGACGCGGCTGCACTCGTCACTGCCGGCACTGTGAACTCGCCCTCGCAGCCCGTGCTGCCCATGTCATGTGTGGGCGGGACACCTGTCATGAATGCTGCTGATTGTGAGTACTCTCGCCTGCTTCTCCCGGCTGCTTAGAATTCCTTCGTCAAGCCCCCCCACCACACTGCTTGCACCCTTATTCCCACCTCTCGTATAAGTTCACTCTGCCGTGTTCCCCCATCCGGCACCCCTGCAGTCGCCGCCATGCAGAACATCAAGACCACGCTGGGTGTGACCTACACCACTTGGACCTCCACCGCTCCATGCCGCAATGCTCGATCTGCGGTGGCCCTTGCGGGCGAGTGGACGGGCGTCACCTGCACCGACACTGGCAAGGTTTCTGACATGTGAGTGACACTACCTCGTCACCCATTACACGGTGCCCGCAATCGTCCTCCTGCTTCAACCGTGTGTGTGCATCCTTTAACCGCTCTTGTTGCTTGTGTCCTCCCAAACCTTTGCCACCAACTGCTGTGCGCACCAGGGGTTTGAATAGCCTTGGCCTCAAGGGTTCCCTTCATGCTGACATCTCCAAGCTCACAGCTCTCACCTACTTGTGAGCTCCCTCTGCTCCATTCTTATGCTACTTTATAGCCTTAACAATGCCGATGCACCCTCTTGCTGCATTGGCTGCTGCGTCATTGCTTTCTTGGCCAAATGCAATGGGCGGCCCAACCTTTGTCGAGTTGCCCAGTGAAGCGTTGATACATCCATTCGAGGCTCAAGCGCACTCATCTCGCCCTCCTTCACCCACTGCTCGCCCCTCACATCACATCGCAGCTCCATGAACTCGAATCTCTTCAACTACCGCCTCGACTCCTTCACCACCAACCTTCAATCCCTGTCAATAGTTTCAATGTGAGTGCCAGTGCTGACCGAGCGACACGTGAGTGCCTGATTGGTTGGCAAGGGAACGAGGTGTCGGAGCAGAGCAGGCGAATGATGACGATAGTGTCTTGTCTCTCTTCTGCTTGCTCCCCTTTTTATTCCCGATCTTCCTACCTCCGTTTCTGTGCGTACCTGCTCAAGCTTCTCTCCATTTACCGCGCCTCAGTCTCGTGCCTGCACAAACCTTTCCCCTTCCACATGCTGCCACTCATCTCATCTCCGCCCTGATCCTCTCTGCTCCTCTCGCAGCCTCCTGCACTACAACTACTTGTACGGCGAAATCCCCTCGTTTCTTGCGAGCATCTCAACTCTCACTTCCTTGTAAGTCAGGAAAGGAAGCCACGTACTGCCTGCCTGCATGATGCTTTTGAATATGCGTGCTGCTTCCTTCTCCCTCCGCGCCCTCTCTGTACGCGTGCTCCTTATGCCGCCTATCTCCGCTTTCTGCTCTCTACCGCACTGTCAGAGGCATTGCCGGCAACTACCTGATGGGGTCCGTGCCTGCACTGGCCACACAGCTGCGCACCTTGGACCTGCGCTTCAACTTCCTCACCGACTTCCCAGCAGTCGCCTACTCCTCGTGTGGCGGCGCCGGCAACTGCCTGCTCACGCCCTCCAAGTGCGCCACCCTCGGCACGGCTCAGCGGGCTGCGGCGGAGTGTGCCTTCTGCAGCACCACCAACGGCGTGGGCCCTTTCTGCGCTGCGACGGGCGGAGTGTGCACGCTGGACGCGGCTGCGCGCGTCACTGCCGGCACCGTGAACGCGCCGGCGCAGGCTGTGCTGCCCATGGCGTGTGTGGGCGGGACGACTGTGGCCATCAAAGAGAGCACAGGTAGGCAGGGGGCTGGGGGCATGGGGCAGGGGACAGGGTGCAGGGGGCAGCGGCTGGGAGTAGGGGCAGTGCACTGTGCATGGTTGTTGTCCACATGGCCTGTCTGTTGATAAGTGCCTCGTTTCCGGCAGGGCAGGTGAGCAGTGGGTGTGTGCGTGCAGCAGCACATTTGGGGATGACAGCAATGTGTGATGGTCTAGTCCAGTGCTGTTGCATCATCAGGGCGCTGAGCTGCGTGGGACTGTGCTGCTCGGGGCGCTGGGCTGTCTGCGAGGGCCCTTGTCCCCCCTGCGGTTCCTCACGTGCTCCTTGGGGCGTCCCCCCATCTCCCGCTGCCTACATTATTGCCCCTTACCACCCCGTGCCCCTCACCTCACCAGCCATGCTCGCACTCAAGTCTTCGCTCGGCGTCACTCTCACCACGTGGGCTGCCACTGTGCCATGCCAACTTGCGGGGCAGACCACCACGGTTGCAGTGTGGACTGGTGTGCTCTGTGACAGCACTGGCAGTGTCGTGAGCATGTGAGTGATTGTGATTGGCATAGAAGTTATCATCCGGATATGGCATGGATCACCAAAACTAGCAAGTTAGCTATCATCAGGAATGCTGCTAACCTTGGGACACAAGAGGAGAGGAGGCCCAAAGGCGGTAGTTCAGATTGCGAATCGCGCGGCTCAAACTTCTATATGTTGAAACAGAAGTTGAAAATTTTGAAGGTCCGAGCTTTTTGAAAATTGTGATACGGGGTACCAGCCACAGAGTTGCTTCAAAGGTTTTCTGATTCAGCCTACCCCCCGTGTTGCGAGAGGTTGAGAGAAACCCAACCAACCCTCGCACCCAATACGGCACTCCACTGATGTTCACCTTCCCTGCTGCCCACTGCTCAACCCCACTAACGTCAAACAATCTAGGCCGCAGGCTTTAAGAAGTAACACACAGTGCCATTGTTTCATGCCTGTCCCTGCTGAATGCGATCGAGGAGCATCAGCAAGGGCATGTCAGGCAGGAACCTTGTTAACTGCATGCTTCCCTTGACCGCTATGGCACCACTTGTATGATCTCCCTACTATACCCGCATACCAAACTCATCTGCTCGTCCACCCTTGCATGTGTCACTAATCCTCTGCACCTCAGAACCCAGACCAACTCAAACCTCAAGGGCTCACTCCCCACTGACATCTCCACGCTCACAGCCCTCACCTTCCTGTGAGTTGCATCTGCCATGCTCTGGCTGCTGCTCTGATCCACGTTGTGATGTTGTCTGCTGCTGTCATGTCAGCGGGTTTACATCTCCTTTCGTGGCTGGATGGATGGAGCTACTCACTTCTCAGTTGACTAATGATGCCTTCAGTCGACGTTCAAGCACAACGAAAATGCCTCTTGCAAACCGTTGCTTGCTCCCCCCCAACAGCAACGTGCAGAACAATCTTCTCAACTACCGCCTTGACTCTTTCACCACCGACCTCCGATCCTTGCCAGTGCTGGCCGTCTTGTGAGTGCCTGTCAGGGTGTAGGGATGAGGGGTGCGACCAGGCGGATGATGCTGGTGTATTGTCTCGTCACCCACTCTTGTTTCCCTCTCAATCCCCCAACCGGTGGTTCACATGCCGCCACTTGTCTCATCGCCGCCCTCCCCATCTCCTCCTGTCGCAGCGCTGCGCACTACAACTACTTGTACGGCGAAATCCCCTCATTCCTCGTGGGCCTTCCGAAGCTCACTGCGTTGTAAGTATGATAGAAAGACATGTACCGGATGGCTGCTTGTGACCTTTTTAAGATGCGTGCTGCCCTTCCTTGCCCTCCTGTCTCGCCCGCCCACTGCTGCTTCTAAAGGCCCTCTATGCACCATCCCTCTTGCTGCCCTCCCCCCTCACCAGTGGTGCGGTGTACAACTACTTCATCGGCACGGTGCCGGCGATCGCATCGAAGCTGAGCACGTTGGACGTGCGCGGCAACTTCGTCACGGACGTGCCCACGGGCAGCTACTCCTGGTGCGGGGGCGCGGGCAACTGCCTGCTGACGCCCGCCAAGTGCACCAGTGGAGGCTCCGCCCAGAGGCCAGCGGCGGACTGTGCCATCTGCGGCACCACCAACGCCGTGGGCCCTTTCTGTGCGTCGACGGGCGGAGTGTGCACGCTGGACGCGGCTGCGCGCGTCACTGCCGGCACCGTGAACGCGCCGGCGCAGCCTGCGCTGCCCATGGCGTGTGTGGGCGGGACGACTGTGGCCATCAAGGAGAGCACAGGTAGGCAGGGGGCATGGGGCAGGGCAGGGGGCAGGGGGCGGGGGGCAGGGGGATGGGGGGGAGGCAGGGGGACGGGGGGGAGGCAGGGGGCCGGGGACAGGGGGCGGGGGGCAGATGTGCATCGGTTCAGCGCTGTTGCCTCATATGGGTGCGCAACCGCGTGGGAGTGTGCTGCTTGATTAGGGCAGCATCCATCCATTGGGCCCATGCTCCACTTGCTCATGTGCTCCACTTGCTCATGTGCTCCACTTGCTCATGTGCTCCACTTGCTCATGTGCTCCACTTGCTCATGTGCTCCACTTGCTCATGTGCTCCACTTGCTCATGTGCTCCACTTGCTCATGTGCTCCACTTGCTCATGTGCTCCACTTGCTCATGTGCTCCACTTGCTCATGTGCTCCACTTGCTCATGTGCTCCACTTGCTCATGTGCTCCACTTGCTCATGTGCTCCACTTGCTCATGTGCTCCACTTGCTCATGTGCTCCACTTGCTCATGTGCTCCACTTGCTCATGTGCTCCACTTGCTCATGTGCTCCACTTGCTCATGTGCTCCTTAGGGCTTCCCCCCCCCCCCCACCTCCCGTGTGCCCTACACCTCACCAGCCATGCTCGCACTCAAGTCTTCGCTCGGCGTCACTCTCACCACGTGGGCTGCCACTGTGCCATGCCAACTTGCGGGGAAGACCACCACGGTTGCAGTGTGGACTGGTGTGCTCTGTGACAGCACTGGCAGTGTCGTGAGCATGTGAGTGATTGTGATTGGCATAGAAGTTATCATCCGGATATGGCATGGATCACCAAAACTAGCAAGTTAGCTATCATCAGGAATGCTGCTAACCTTGGGACACAAGAGGAGAGGAGGCCCAAAGGCGGTAGTTCAGATTGCGAATCGCGCGGCTCAAACTTCGATATGTTGAAACAGAAGTTGAAAATTTTGAAGGTCCGAGCTTTTTGAAAATTGTGATACGGGGTACCAGCCACAGAGTTGCTTCAAAGGTTTTCTGATTCAGCCTACCCCCCGTGTTGCGAGAGGTTGAGAGAAACCCAACCAACCCTCGCACCCAATACGGCACTCCACTGATGTTCACCTTCCCTGCTGCCCACTGCTCAACCCCACTAACGTCAAACAATCTAGGCCGCAGGCTTTAAGAAGTAACACACAGTGCCATTGTTTCATGCCTGTCCCTGCTGAATGCGATCGAGGAGCATCAGCAAGGGCATGTCAGGCAGGAACCTTGTCAACTGCATGCTTCCCTTGACCGCTATGGCACCACTTGTATGATCTCCCTACTATACCCGCATACCAAACTCATCTGCTCGTCCACCCTTGCATGTGTCACTAATCCTCTGCACCTCAGAACCCAGACCAACTCAAACCTCAAGGGCTCACTCCCCACTGACATCTCCACGCTCACAGCCCTCACCTTCCTGTGAGTTGCATCTGCCATGCTCTGGCTGCTGCTCTGATCCACGTTGTGATGTTGTCTGCTGCTGTCATGTCAGCGGGTTTACATCTCCTTTCGTGGCTGGATGGATGGAGCTACTCACTTCTCAGTTGACTAATGATGCCTTCAGTCGACGTTCAAGCACAACGAAAATGCCTCTTGCAAACCGTTGCTTGCTCCCCCCCAACAGCAACGTGCAGAACAATCTTCTCAACTACCGCCTTGACTCTTTCACCACCGACCTCCGATCCTTGCCAGTGCTGGCCGTCTTGTGAGTGCCTGTCAGGGTGTAGGGATGAGGGGTGCGACCAGGCGGATGATGCTGGTGTATTGTCTCGTCACCCACTCTTGTTTCCCTCTCAATCCCCCAACCGGTGGTTCACATGCCGCCACTTGTCTCATCGCCGCCCTCCCCATCTCCTCCTGTCGCAGCGCTGCGCACTACAACTACTTGTACGGCGAAATCCCCTCATTCCTCGTGGGCCTTCCGAAGCTCACTGCGTTGTAAGTATGATAGAAAGACATGTACCGGATGGCTGCTTGTGACCTTTTTAAGATGCGTGCCGCCCTTCCTTGCCCTCCTGTCTCGCCCGCCCACTGCTGCTTCTAAAGGCCCTCTATGCACCATCCCTCTTGCTGCCCTCCCCCCTCACCAGTGGTGCGGTGTACAACTACTTCATCGGCACGGTGCCGGCGATCGCATCGAAGCTGAGCACGTTGGACGTGCGCGGCAACTTCGTCACGGACGTGCCCACGGGCAGCTACTCCTGGTGCGGGGGCGCGGGCAACTGCCTGCTGACGCCCGCCAAGTGCACCAGTGGAGGCTCCGCCCAGAGGCCAGCGGCGGACTGTGCCATCTGCGGCACCACCAACGCCGTGGGCCCTTTCTGTGCGTCGACGGGCGGAGTGTGCACGCTGGACGCGGCTGCGCGCGTCACTGCCGGCACCGTGAACGCGCCGGCGCAGCCTGCGCTGCCCATGGCGTGTGTGGGCGGGACGACTGTGGCCATCAAGGAGAGCACAGGTAGGCAGGGGGCATGGGGCAGGGCAGGGGGCAGGGGGCGGGGGGCAGGGGGACGGGGGGGAGGCAGGGGGCCGGGGACAGGGGGCGGGGGGCAGATGTGCATCGGTTCAGCGCTGTTGCCTCATATGGGTGCGCAACCGCATGGGAGTGTGCTGCTCGATTAGGGCAGCATCCATCCACAGGGCCCATGCTCCACTTGCTCATGTGCTCCACTTGCTCATGTGCTCCACTTGCTCATGTGCTCCACTTGCTCATGTGCTCCACTTGCTCATGTGCTCCACTTGCTCATGTGCTCCACTTGCTCATGTGCTCCACTTGCTCATGTGCTCCACTTGCTCATGTGCTCCACTTGCTCATGTGCTCCACTTGCTCATGTGCTCCACTTGCTCATGTGCTCCACTTGCTCATGTGCTCCACTTGCTCATGTGCTCCACTTGCTCATGTGCTCCACTTGCTCATGTGCTCCACTTGCTCATGTGCTCCACTTGCTCATGTGCTCCACTTGCTCATGTTCTCCACTTGCTCATGTGCTCCACTTGCTCATGTGCTCCACTTGCTCATGTGCTCCACTTGCTCATGTGCTCCTTAGGGCTTCCCCCCCCCCCCCCCCACCTCCCGTGTGCCCTACACCTCACCAGCCATGCTCGCACTCAAGTCTTCGCTCGGCGTCACTCTCACCACGTGGGCTGCCACTGTGCCATGCCAACTTGCGGGGCAGACCACCACGGTTGCAGTGTGGACTGGCGTGCTCTGTGACAGCACTGGCAGTGTCGTGAGCATGTGAGTGAGCGTAATGGGCAAGTTGATGTAGTCATTGGTGTGGAAATGATGATCAAATTATGCTGCTGGATCATGCATGTCCGTGTGGCTTGTGTGGCACCCCATAGGATTTTTATGTCCATTGCATTCTTCCACTGCCTGTGGTGGCACCCCTAAACCTTCTCCCGCCCCTCCTGCATACTGTGTTTGTGTGCTCACCCGCCCTCGAATGTGTGCTCCAATGCTCTGCCGCCAACTGTTGTGCGCCTCAGATCTTCGCAAAACACAAAGCTCAAGGGCTCCCTTCCATCTGACATCTCGAGTCTCACATCTCTCACCCTCCTGTGAGCTGCGTCTGCTCTCTGCTCTGGCTGTTCCGGTTGGCTGCTGACAATGCTGTCCTCTGTCATAGCAGCTGCTATATGTTTCCTTTTTCAGAAGGATAGAGTTGCTCAGACCCCAGTTGATTGAGGCATGATGCCTCGGTCGAGGGTCAAGCGCAATGACCGTGTGTCCTGCACCCTCCACTCGCCCCTCCCCTGCAGCAATCTGGCGCAGAATCTCTTCAACACCCGCCTCGACTCCTTCACCACCAACCTCCAATCCTTGCCCGTCCTGGCCAACCTGTGAGTTCATGCCAGGTTGTGGCTTTCAAGGGGAAGGGGGTGAGAGCAGGCGTATGATGCTGGTGTCTTGTCTCGCCTCAGCCTTTCCCGTCTCAATCCAATCCTTCAGCCTTTGTTTCACATGCTGCCACTCTGCTCATCGCTGTCCTCGTCGTTTCCGCCCATGTTGCAGCGCTCTGCACTACAACTACTTGTATGGAGAAGTCCCCTCGTTTCTCGTGGGCCTTCCGAAACTCACTGCGTTGTAAGTATGATTTGGCGGCACGCACCAAATAGCCGTGTGCTGCCTCTTAAGATGCATGCCACTTCTCCTTCCTTGCCCTCCTGTCCCGTCTGCCCCCTCGACTTTTAAGGCCTTCTATGCACCTCCCGTCTTGCTGCCCTGTCGCCCCTCACCAGCGGTGCTGTCTACAACTACTTGATTGGTACCGTGCCCGCGCTTGCCTCTGGGCTGCGCTCTCTGAACGTGCGAGGAAACTTCCTCACGGACGTGCCAGCAGCCACGTACACGTACTGCGGGGGCGACACCAACTGCCTGCTCACGCCCTCCAAGTGCACCACCACTGGCACCACTCAGCGGCCTCCCGCAGCTTGTGCCATCTGCGGCACCACCAATGGTGTTGGCCCATTCTGTGCGGCAGGCGGAGTGTGCGTAGCGGACGCCACTGCAGCCGTCACTGCCGGCACTGTGAACTCAAACTCACAGCCCGTGCTGCCCCTGGCGTGCTCGGCACCGCCCGTGCTCGTGAAAGAAAGCGCAGGTGGGCAGTGGGCAGGGGGCAGTGGGCAGTGGGCAGGGGGCAGGGGGCAGTGGGCAGGGGGCAGTGGGCAGGGGGCAGGGTTGTGTCCCATCGCCTGTTGGTGCCTACCTTGCTGGTAGGAGAGCATAGGAGCAACGGGTGTGTGCAGTAATCCCACATGGGCATGGCATGGGTGGGGGGCCTGTGACGGTTCATGTTGCTGGGGCCGTGTGGAGTTGTGCTGCCTGGTACAGCGTGCATGCGTTTAGAGGGCAGGTGCAACCAGACCATCTCCTCACGTGCTCCTTGGGGCATACACCCACCTCCCTCTGCCTGCCTTGCTGCCCCTGTCCCCGCGTGCCCCTCACCAGCCATGCTCGCCCTAAAGCTCGAGCTCGGCGTCTCTTTCACCACCTGGGCGGCCACTGTGCCGTGCCAACTCGCGGGGCAGGCCGCCACAGTGAAAGTCTGGACTGGCGTGCTGTGTGACAGCACTGGGAGGGTCGTGAGCATGTGAGTCGGCATATTGGGCACGAGAACTCCGAGCATGGGAATGGTCAGCGCTAGCGAGTAAAACATCGTGCGAATATGAGGCAACGTGCATGCAAGGAAGGCTTGTTGTTATTATGGCCCAAGTAGAAGATGACGATGACACATGCCAGTGGTTCTCTCCTTCCCTTGTCTTGTGGCGTGTGAGTGAGTGAGCATCAGCAAGGGCATATCACGTGTTTCCTCTCACCACAGTGACACCGTTTCCATAATTTGCCTGCCATGCACCCGCATGCCATACGGTATTCATCTGCCCACCTGCTCTTGCGTGTGTCCTCCAACCATTCGCCATCAACCGTTCCTTTAACACATGCAGAACGCTGGAGAACACAAAGCTCTATGGCTCGCTTTCCACTGACATCTCCACCCTCACTGCTCTCACCTACCTGTGAGTTGTGTATCTTTCACGTTGTTGTTGCTCTAATAGGCCCTCTCACAAAATAATATTGTCCGCTGTTGTACTGACTGCTTCATCTTTCTTATCTCGGCAGCATGCAATGGATGCCCCCCATCTATAGCATCGCCTAGTCGAGCCATGCTGCATTGCATTCAGTTCAGGATTCCTGAACCCTAACCCGAGGTGCTCGAGCAATGTGCTCCTGCCCTCTCTGCTCGCCCCTCGCAGCAACCTGCCGGGCAATTTCTTCAGAGACCGCCTCGACTCCTTCACCACGTCTCTTCGTTTTTTGCCACTCGCCGACATGTGAGTGCTGCGAGTGTGACAGCAGGGGAGGGAAGGCGAGAGCAGGCGAATGATGTTGGCTTCTTGTCTTGCCCCAGCTTTTCACCCACTCCCGTTTTTCTCTCAAATTCTCTGCCCTCCGTTCCACATGCTGCCATTCATCTTACCTCCATCACCTCTCATCTGAGTTCTGCCCTCACCATCTGTGCTCCTCCCACAGCCGTCTGCACTACAACTTTTTGTATGGAGAAATCCCCTCGTTCCTCATGAGCCTCCCAAAGCTGACAAATTTGTAAGACTGATACAAACGCTCGTGCTGGATGGCTGCATGCTGCTTCGTCAGATGCATGCAAATTGTATCTCCTTCCCTGTTCTAGTTCTGACCCATTCCTTTATTCATATTCAACCTTATTGCCAACCCCCCTCCCCAGCGGTGCGGTCTACAACTACCTCATCGGCACCGTGCCTGCGCTCGCCTCCCAGCTGCGCTCTCTGGACGTGCGAGGAAACTTCCTCACGGATGTGCCCACAGCCAACTACACGTTCTGTGGCTGTGCCGGGAACTGCATGCTCACGCCCTCCAAGTGCATCAGCAATGGCACGGCTCAGCGGCCTGCGGCACAATGTGCCTTCTGTGGCACCACCAACGGCGTGGGCCCCTTCTGTTGGGGGGCGGGAGGCGAGTGCGTGGCGGACGTGATTGCTCTTTGGGATGTCGGCATCTTGAACTCGCCCTCGCAGCCCGTGCAGCCCCGTGCGTGCATGGGCGGGTCCGTGCAGGCCATTGCGCAGAGCGCAGGTGAGCCGTGGGCAGTGGGCAGTTGACTGGGCAGTGGACGCATCTTGTCAGCAATGGCCTGGCAGTGCCTGCCTTGCCGCAACCACCTCTCACTGACATGTGATTCTCACCGCTACAGCTTCCTCTGCCCTGCTGCCCTCATGCTGCGCCGTACCTAGACTGTTGCCATAACTCGCTGAACTTAGCTCGTCTAACCCGCGCGACTACCCCTTTATCTACCCGTCTCTCCCATCCACCCACCGTCCCCACCAGCCATGCTGGCGCTCAAGTCGTCGCTGGGCGTGACGTTCAACAGCTGGGCGGCGTCGGTGCCGTGCTCCGTGTGGATGGTCTCGCCGTCCGTGCCCACGTGGCCCAACGTCATCTGCGACGGCGAGGGCAATGTGATCGGGATGTGAGTGGCACACATGGGTGGCGGGGTGGGCGATGGTGCGAGTTCAAGCTGTGACTGGCAGCGTCAGCTGGGCAGCAAGGGAGCGGAAGCAGTTTTGCATGTGGGAGAGCATGTGATGGGTTCCTGTGGGAGAGCATGTGTTGGGTTTCTTCCTGTGCGAGGCCTAACTGCCACTCACTCTCCCTATCTGCCGTTTCTGCTTGGCAGCAACTTGACCAACACGGGGCTCACGGGAAGCATCCCAGCCGACATCTCAAAGCTTGATTACCTCACTTACTTGTGAGTGCATTTCACCCTCACTTACTTGTGAGTGCATTTCACCCTCACTTACTTGTAAGTGCATTTCACCCTCACTTGTGAGTGCATTTCACCCTCACTTACTTTACTTGTAAGTGCATTTCACCCTCACTTGTAAGTGCATTTCACCCTCACTTGTAACTGCATTTTGCCCTCACTTACTTGTAAGTGCATTTCACCCTCACTTACTTGGAAGTGCATTTTACCCTCACTTAGTTGCAGTGCATTTCACCCTCACTTGTGAGTATGTAAGATTCTAAAATCTGGAGGACGAATGATACAAAAAAATGCTAAAAAACATGCTCAACTATGCATGAGTAATAGTCCCTTTATTGCTCCGCGATTGGTGCTCTCTGGTTTTTTTTTTTCTAGGTGAGCACAACAAACACACAAGCACGCACAATAGAAATGTGCGTGCAGCTCTGGGAATTCTATCCCGCGCTTGAACCGTAGAAGACAAATTGCAAGTGACCTAATTATTGTAGTCAAGTCTTACCTGTAACGGAAATGCAAGAAGCGGCTAAAGTAACGCGCTCAAAATTCATTGGCTGCTACCCTTCGCCAACGTTGCCGAGTCTCCAATCCGAACCACGTTGGTGGTGCTGCCACACGCTAGCTTCACAAGGGCCCCAAACCCATCCATCCAGGTCTCCTCAACGAGATGTAAGATTGATCCTGTTCAAAATGTCCCGAAAGTGTTTCAAAAGTGCCTTTTGGGAGGGCTGTAGGTAGACTATGGATGGGCCGTTTTTAGCATCGGACGAGTCTCAGGGCGCATTCCTAGCTTCGGGTCATTCGGTTTTCGTGTCATCCGAGATTGTGGGAACCAACCGGAAAACCCACGGTTTGAGATTCAGGTTTTTCGGTTGGTTCCCACAATTCTCGGATGACATAAAAACGGGATGACCCGAAGCTAGGAATGCGCCCTCATTCTTTCCTTTTCAAGGTAGCCAGCGCTATGTATTTCAGATTCAACATGACTGACTGTTCAGCCATTCCCTTCAGCTTTAAGCTAGCGTTGCTCATGGTAGCATGTTCTTCTAACAGAGAGCACCTCATCGCTCACCTACCTGTAATTGCATCTCATTCGCACGTCCGTGTGAGTCGACCCCCAGCAGTCCGAGGCTACCCAAGCATCTGCTCCTGTGTTGGCCGCCTTCTCAGCAACAACCCGTTCTCTGCCACTAACCTGCCATCGGCCAATCCGCCTCAGAATGTGTTCCCTCCCTAGCCTGTCGCCCCCTCACTTTCCTGTGCTCCCCCACCTCCTGTGTTTCCCCCTCGCCTTGCTGTGTGCGCCTCCTCGCCTTGCTCCGTGCGCCTCCTCGCCTTGCTCCGTGCGCCTCCTCGCCTTGCGCCGTGCGCCTTCTTGCCTTGCGCCGTGCGCCCCTCGGGCAGGTCACTGTCGACGCAGCTCTTCCAGGCGCCCCTGGCTGCCTTCTCCTCCAACCTCCTTGCGCTCACCTTTCTCAATGAGCTGTGAGTCACATTTCGCACTTGTCAGAATTCACCAACCTCAGGTCTCCGGCCCGTGCGTTGCTTGAGTCACTATGCTGCCTCTCCTGATCCCTCTGTCTCTTCTTCCCCATCTTCCCCTCTGGCACTTGGCCCTCCCATTCCTGCCCTAGGGCCCATTATGCCTTTCTCTTCCACCGCCCCTCACACGTCTCCTTATCGTCCCGTGCTGCCTCGTGCCCACCCTTCACTGCCCTGCCGCTTCCCTCCCCACAGCTACCTGCCGTACAACTGGCTGTATGGCTCTGTGCCAACTGCGCTCTTCAACCTGCAATTGCTTTCTGTGATGTGAGCCCCCTCGCACATTCCTCACTCGCTCCCATACTTGTCTGTGCATCCCCCTTCATAATTTGCTGCTGCCTTCCCTGCCCCACATGTTCTCACATTCACGCACATCTGTTCACGCACATCTGTTCACGCACATCTACTCGTCTCTGAGTCTCGTCTCCTCCCATCTCAACACCGCCCCCGGATCCCCAATCTCGCTGCCCATTACGACTCCTGCAGTGACCTGAGCTACAACTACCTCACGGGCAGCTTCCCAGCGTCCACCACTCTGTCCAGTCTGGACATCCGCAGCAACTTCTTCTACGCCGTCGGCACCATGACCCTGCAGTCCTGCGCCGCCATCTCCAACTGCCTCGCCTCTCCCGCCGCCTGCAGCTCCGCCGGCACCACGCAGCGCCCCACAGCCGACTGCGCCATCTGCGGCTCCACCAACGGCCAGCCGCCCTTCTGTGGCGGCACCGGCACCTGCGCGCCTGACTCTGGCCCCGCAGCCGCACAGGGCACGCCCAATGTGGCGGGCTCGGCCCTGCTGCCCATGGTGTGCAGTGGCGTCGCCATCGACGCTGCTGATGGTGAGCGCATGCTCACCACACCACGCGCCCACAGACATCTGCACACTCGCAGGCAGTAACACATTTACATGCACCCATGCAATCACTAGCTTCCTCGTGCACGCTCCACTTGTACCCCCCTCACTTCACGCCTGCTCTCGCATCTCTCAACCCCATGGCCACTGTCATTCACTGAACGTGGTTCTTACCCCTTCCCCACCCCTCTTCCCCCCCCTGCCGCACCAGCTGCGGTGCTGCTGGCGCTCAAGTCGTCGCTTGGCGTGACGCTGAACAACTGGAACACGGCAGCGCCGTGCACACTGGAGGGGCAGGCGCTGCTGCCCGCACAGTGGGGTGGTGTGCGCTGCACTGCTGCAGGCAAAGTCACGAGCATGTGAGTGCAGGGATGGCTGGTGAGGCACAACAGTGAGTGGGTGCAGCATGCCAGAGGGGGTTGCTGTTGGTGTTGCTCTTGCCTCTCCCTATCCTATACACCTCCTATTCGTACCCTGCCCTCCATTCATCTGCCATCTGTCAATCATGCACCGCCTCTCACCCGGCACCGGGCGCACCTCACTGTCCCCGGGTTAATCATGCCAATCCCATTTACCTTATTTAATCTTAACAATGCAGTGCGCTCAAACGGCAGCAACTGAAGGGCTCCATTCATCCCGACATCTCCAAGCTCACCACGCTCACTTACCTGTAAGCCCACCGCACCACGCTCACTTACCTGTAAGCCCACCGCACCACGCTGACTTACCTGTAAGCCCACCGCACCACGCTCACATGGAACCTTCACCTGTCAGGGAGAGATATCCGTTTGTGAGGCAAGACAAATCTGCAATTTTCTCACCCATATGCAATTCCCTCACCCATTTGCAATTCTCTCACCCATCTGCACTGCTCTCTCTCCCCTCCCTGCCGCAGAGACTTCGGATACAACCTCTTCCAGGGTCGTCTCGACTTCTTTGCCGTCCCACTCAAGCCCCTCACCTCCCTCAAGGCGCTGTAAGTCCGGGCCCCCTTCCACCACGCCCACCTGCTCCTTTGTCTCCCTCCCCACCCCCCCCGCCCCTGTGACTCGTGCTGCTGCACAATGCGCGCTGGGCTGTGCCAATCCAGCGTGGCACATGCTGCTACACCTGGCCACCACAATTACTCAAATCCCTCGTGCATCCCATGCTTGCATTGTGTTAGCATCCCACTTATTCTCCTATGCGCCTTCGTCCATTCACCCTCGCATTTGTCCCTCCCCTCGTCCATCGCAGCTTCTTCCATTACAACTATTTCGCCGGCTCCATTCCTTCTGCCATCGCCACGCTGCCTCAACTCACCTCACTGTAAGCCAAGCGAGCAGCATCCCTCATGCCTGCACGTCAATGCCGCCCGCCCTCTCCCCGTACCAAATGCCGCATGGCTGCACACTCCACTCACAACAACTTCCATTCCCCATGCCCAGCCCGCCCCTGATTACCCACCACTCCCCCCCTCACTTCCCATCCCCTCCCCTCACCTTCCTCTTCCCCACCTTTTCCCCCGCTTCCTCTTTCTCCCCCTTGCAGCGGCCTCTACTCCAACTACCTCACGGGCACCGTGCCCATCCCCTCCAAGGCCCTGCTCGCTCTGGACGTGGGCTTTAACTTCCTCTCGGGGGTCTTCCCAAATGTGGCGTTCATGTTCTGTGCGGGCGAGAACAACTGCTTTGTCAACTCCACCAACTGCCGCACCTACGGCAGCGTGCAGCGCCCTGCCGGTGCCTGCGCCATCTGCGGCACGGCGGGTGGGCAGGGCGACCTCTGCTTCGGCGGCACCTGCGCTCCCGTCGCCTCTGCTGCCATCGCCGCTGGCACTATCAACTCGCCCAGTCAGCCCATCCTGCCCATGTCATGTGCAGGTCAGTGTGTGTGTGGCGCACATGGCTGGGCGTGTGCTCTGCTGCAATACATGGCAGTCTGTTCGCTCTCCTTCGACATTCTTCCTTTTCGCATCGCTCCTCCGCCTGCTCCCACCACTTTGACCCTCCTCATGCCTCCTGCCATGCTCACCCTCTCCCACTCTCTCCTACTTCCTAACTCTCCCCTTGCAGACAATCCGGCTGCACCAATGGATACGGGCTCAGGTGCGCTCACAAGCCTTGCCGCCATGCACGCATGCACATATGAAGTCCCGCCTCCATGCCTCTCGCCGCTCATCCTTCACTCCCCGTGCACGTTTACCCCTTGCTCTTTCTCATCTGCCAGCCTCCATGCTCTGCAACTCTCCATCCTTCACTCCTGTGCACGTATACCCTCTTTCCACTTTCCATCGCCCTCACTCCCACTGCCATGCCTCTAACATCCCGTCCTCCCCTCCCTCTAAACCCATCGCTCACAGCGGTGGCGCTGCTGAACGTGAAGTCAGCGTTGGGAGTGACGTTCTCGACCTGGGCGGCTGCTTCCCCCTGCACCATCGCCAACTCTACTGTAACCGTTGCTGGCACCTGGACCGGCGTGCTCTGCTCCGCTTCTGGCGACGTCCTCAGCGTGTCAGTGCTCCCCGCCTCCCTGCTCCCCGCCTCCCTGCCCCCTGCCTCCCTGCTCCCTGCTTCCCTGCCCCCTGCCTCCCTGCTCCCACTGCCTACTGCTGCATGCCACATTTGATATCAACCGTAGTCTTCGATGCACGCCACCCACGCCTCCTTTCTCCATCACTCCCCCTTCCTCCCTTTTTGTCCTCCCTGCCCTCCCTTCCCCCCATGTCACTGTTTGCAGCAACCTCTCCTCCTCCGCCCTGGCCGGCAGCATGCATGCTGACATCACCAAGCTCACAGCCCTCACCTACCTGTCAGTGCCCTCAACCCACTCGCTCGCTGCTCCTTCCAAAGCTGTCGACGAGCTGTCTCGTACCCTCACCTTTCCCCACCCACTTTCCTCTCTGCCTGTCCGCCTCGCACATCTGCCAATTCTAAGGCTCCCTCTCCGCCTCAGCTCTGCCTGCTCCTTGTCTCTGCCGCCCACCCGCTCCCGTCGCCCCTTGCGCCTCCCGTGTCCTCCCGTCTGCGCGTGCTCTGTGCTGCGTCTATCCCGCCCGCCCCTGCAGCGACCTGTCCAAGAACGTGCTGCGCGCCAACCTGGCCAGCTTCGTCTCTTCCTTCTCCGGCCTCCAGGCGCTCCAGCAGCTGTCAGTGCCGCCGCCCTCACCCACTCCGCCCCACACCTCCGCCGGATTCGTCATGTGCCCCCACTCGTGTTGTTCTCACTCATGCTCTGCCCTTACTCGGGCTGATCCAGCATGTGTGAGCCTGTCTGCACACAGCCTCGCACTGCATGCCACTTTGCTCCTTCAGTACGTGCAGTACAGCACATCTTCACTTGCACCTGCTTCCCCTTCCTCCTCTCCCCACAGGCGCCTCAACAACAACTGGTTTTCGGGCTCCCTGCCTCAGGCCCTCATGTCTCTTCCCGCCCTCACTCTGCTGTAAGGGTCATCTGGATTAGCGTTGGTTTCCACCCTACGCCCTCACTCATTCGCTCATTCGCATATGTGCTGCTGCGCACGCACTCACTCGCCTCGCCACAACTTCAGTGTGCAACACACATGCTTCCATCAGCAACCCAACCCCCCTCTCACCCCCTTACCCCCCTCCCTAGCATGCTCGTCACCACACATTCATCTCTCCTTGCCTCTTTCTCCGCCCTTCCTCACCCTCTCCTACTGGCACGCCAGGGACGTGCATGCAAACGCGCTGACAGGGTCGCTGCCCGCCGTGTCATCCACGCTGGCAGCGCTCTTCCTGCACGACAACTTCCTCGCGGGCAGCTTCGCAGCGGGCGCCCTCACCGCGTGCGACGCCAGCCTCAACTGCCTGACCAGCGCCGCTGCGTGTGGCGCCAGCAGCACCACGCAGAGGGCTGCTGCTGCGTGTGCCATCTGCAACAGCGCAGATGCTCAAGGGCTGCTGTGCTGGGGTGGCATGTGCCTGCCCAACGTCACTGCCACCACCGCCCACCCTGACGGACTCGCCCCGCCGCCCATGTACTGCGCTGGTGCGTCTCTGCCCGCCCTTCTCCCCGCACTGTGGGGGCGCTCGTGCTGCTCCCCACCGTGTCCGCCTCGCCCCTGCTGCCTCCCACTCGCTCTGTTCTCTGCCTCCTGCTGGCTCGCACCTTCACCCTCCCCTCTTTTTGGCCCAATGCCTCTGAATGCCCCTGAATACCTCTGAACGCCCCTGAATGCCTCTGCATGCCACTGAATGCCTCTAACGCCTCTGAATACCCCTGAATGCTTCTGAATTCCTGGTGCAGGTTCTCCTGTGGTCAACATCAGCAGCGTTGACGGTGAGTGCCTCGCCTCAGATCGCCATGCTGCCTGAACTTCTGCTCTCTCTACCCATGCCGTTTCCTGTGTCCATTACCCCGCCGTTCGCCAAGAGTGATGTCATCGCACATGGTGGTGTGGTGTAGTTCCCAATCCAACACTCTATGCCCCTCCATGCACCACCTCACCTCCCCCAACGCCATGTGCCAACCTCACCTCTTCACTCCCTCGCTTTTCCCCTCCCCCCATTACACACCTACCCCCCCCCCCCCCCCCCCCCCCCCCCCCCCCCCCTGTCCCTCCTCTCCGCCTCCTCTTTTCTCTACCACGATGCGCGGCAGCTGTTGCGCTGGCGGCGCTGAAGAGTGCGATGGGGGTGACCTTCACCACGTGGGCGCCCGCCACCTACTGCACCGTGGAGCCCACACCGCAGATCGTCGGCACGTGGGATGGCGTGCTCTGCAACTCCCTCGGCAAAGTCGTCTCCCTGTCAGTCCGCTTGCACTCTACCCCCCTGCCCTCTGCTCGTCTGCCCTTGCTCTGTGCGCCACTTCTCTCTGGATGCTAGTGCTCTCCCTAACTCCCAGTGCCATTGCCCTCTGCTCACTCTTTTTGTTTTCTGCATGCTGCATGTCCATGGTGTGTCTTCTTCCTTGCCTTGGACTCATCGCTCCCATGCGCCCCCTCTCTTACCTCTCCAACCCCTTGTGTGCGGCGCACCTTCCATCCGCGTCCACCAGGCTACTCCCCAACAAGAAGCTCACGGGCACTGTGCCGCTCGCCGTCTCCACCCTCACTGCGCTCACTGCCATGTGAGCCGCTTCCCTGCCTGCTGCCTCCCTGCCCGCTGCCTCCCTGCCCGCTGCCTCCATGCTCTCTGCTTGCGTTCCTGCCCACTGTTTCTTGACTTCTCAGATTGGACCCTGCAGCCCGCCCTTGCTTGCCATTGCTTCTCCACTTTCGCGCTTGAATTAATTCGTCACAACAACAAAAATCTGCGTGTCTGATAGACACCGACTACTTGTGTCACCCGCTCTCCTCGTTCTCTCCTTTCCGCTCCTCTCCTCATTCTCTCTCCTCTCTGCCCTTCTCCTCATTCTCTCTCCTCTCTGCCCTTCTCCTCATTCTCTCGACTCTCTTCCCTCTCCCCGCTCTCTCTCCTCTCCGCCCCTCCCCCCAGCGACCTCACCTCCAACCTCTTGCAGGGCCGCCTGGACGAAGTTGCCACGCAGCTGCGCCTGCTCACCAACCTCAAGTCCATGTGCGTTGCCATAGCTGCTGCTGGTGTTGGTGCATGAAGCTGGGACAATCATGACAAACATCTTTCTACCAAGCCAACCATAGACCCACCTCTCTATAGCACCGCAGGCGGGTTGTACAGCATGCCTGTGCTCATGGGTCCAGCTCTCCTTGCTTTTGTTCCACTCTATCCTTCCGTGGCTTCAAGCTCCCTCACATCATCCTCTCACCCACCCCTGCCTCTGTCTCTGCCTCTGCTCTCCCACCGCCCCATGCCCCCAGCGATCTCGCCTACAACTGGCTCTCCGGCTCAGTGCCTGCGTTCATGCTCACCCTCCCCAGCCTCACGAAGATGTACGCCCCACTTCCCCACTCCACTGCCCCTTCCACGCGCCTGCAAGTGCTTCCTCTTGTGTCCATGCTCGTCGCTCTGCCCCCTCCGCAACACCTTGCGATTCTTTTCCTCCATCATGACCTCACCTCCATCCTCCACCCATAACACTGGCTCATCCATGGGCAATTGCCTCCCCGCCCCACCGTGCCCTCCTCTGCTCCGCAGCACCCTAGGCTACAACTATCTGACGGGTGCGCTGCCGAACGTGACATCCCCGCTCTCAGTGGTGGACGTGCAGTTCAACTTCCTCGCCGGCTCCTTCCCCACGCTCACCCTCACCCTCTGCGCCGCGCGCATGAACTGCTTCCTCGACGCCACCAAGTGCAAAAACCCCAACCGCGCCGCCGAGCTCCCGCGGGCCACCACAGCGTGTGCCATCTGCAACACCACCAACGCGCAGGGCCGGCTGTGCAGCGGCGGGCTGTGCACCGTCAACGCCACGGACCTCGTGGCACTCGGTGCGCCCAACAGTGCTGCATCGCCCACACTGCCGCTCATCTGCGTGGGAGCGGCGTTTGTGGCGATGGACTCGGTGCATGCAGCAGCCATGCTGAACCTCAAGGCGTCGCTGGGAGTGACCTTCACTGAATGGAAGGCCGACTCGCCCTGCTCCCTGCGCGATGCCGTCGCCCCGGGGTCATGGAGTGGGGTAGCCTGCGACGCCACTGGCAAAGTGCTCAGCATGTGAGTGTGCAGAAATAGTTCCAGTTCGCTAATTAACTGGGAGAACAGTTTGGGTCATCCCAGTGCCCTCTTTCAACACTCTTCTCACTAGGAACGCCCACCACTTGGACACAGGAAGCCTGCTGACACCAGGATTCAAGCACAGGTCCCTCGCGCACATCGGTCTACGCTTACCGCACCATGCAGGGAAAGCTCCAATTTGCTAACCAGCTGGGACAGAAGGGCCTGTTTGTGTGGTGGGCAGGCACACCCATACCTCCCAGGATGGCACATATAGCCCCTGCAGAGACCCATCTTTGGCGTTTTGCTTTTCTAGACCTCATATTGCTCAAGTCATCACGTTCGCTCGATGCACTCTCCATGCTGCCGTGCTTGTTGAGCCAAATCTGCAGAGTGCTGGGTTCCCAGAAGCTGGCGGGCAGCATCCACTCCGACATCTCCAAGCTCACCACGCTCACCTTGCTGTCAGTCCTCACGCCCTCCTCTCTCCGCCTCTCACTCTCACCTACCTGCACTTCAATTCTGATGTTCCCTGCGCATCCGTTTCTTGAGGCGCCTCAAACGCGCTCTGCGTTCCTGATATTCAATACGTCCTTAACTCAAGATGCCAGTCTGCGTTATGCTGAATCGTTTCTTGTGTGCTCGCCTCCCATGGCTGCGCCCTGCAGTGACCTGCAGTCCAACCTGCTGCAGGGGCGGCTGGACTCCTTCACTGCCAGCATCAAGACGCCCCTCGTGCTCAAGGAGCTGTGAGTCACCAATTCCCGCTAACGCTCTCTGCATGCACCCACCCATGCACCCACCCATGCATGCACCCACCCATGCACCCACCCATGCATGCACCCACCCATGCACCCACCCATGCATGCACCCACCCATGCACCCACACATGCATGCACCCACCCATGCACCCACCCATGCATGCAGCCAACCATGCACCCACACATGCATGCAGCCATCCATGCACCCACCCATAAATGCAGCCATTTGTGGGTATATTTGACCATGCTCAACTCTGCCCTGCACAGCAAAATCACCATTCGCCCGTTCCTCCTGACCCCCTAACCATTCTTTCCTCTCCCTCCACCCTTCCCCTCCCATGGCCTGTGCTGCGCATGCCTGCAGCGCTCTGCAGTTCAACTACCTTGTTGGTCCGTTCCCCTCCACGCTGCTCGCCCTCTCCACTCTCTCCAAGCTGTGAGTGCTCTGCACCACCCCGCCTTCCACTCTCGCACGTCACCCACACCGTTGCTACTCTCCAATCGCACACCATCTCTCCAGTCGCACAGCATCTCTCCAGTCGCACAGCATCTCTCCAGTCGCACAGCATCTCTCACACATTCCCTCATTCTCCCTCCGCACCTGCTCCTGCCTTCCCCCACCTTGTCTCCCCCCCGCTCTCCTTCCCACTTCCCCAAATTCCCAACCACACCCCCCCCCCCCCAAACCCCC